AAAAAAAAAAAAAAAAAAAAAAAAAAATAAATTTCTCTTTTTTTTTATTTTTCCCAAAAAAAAAAGTGATATCATACTGAGTTACTAATATATGTTATACCGAGTTGAAAATTTTAGGGGTCCTGATTGGAGCTTCTAGTAGTGCTTTTTTTTATTGGTTCAAACTAAAAAAAAATATACTATTCTAAGCCAGCCCTTTCAGTCATTTTTGAAATGATTTATACTAGTATAGTAGTATGTATTCTATGTATTCCGAATAAGTCCGTAATTCTTTTGTGTTACGATGAGTATAATTTTTTTTTCTTATAAAAATAACGCTTCAAGCCTTTACAAGCTTTCCTCCTCAGCCTGGAACTAAAAAATTCGGCTTTAGCAAAAGAGTAAGTAGAAATCCTACTAAGAATATTAAAAAATACGCGAAAATACTTTTCTTTTTGCCTGAAGACAAAAATATATTGGAAAAAATATTGTTATATTTCTGAAATCGCTATATAAACACGCTTGTTTTTTTTCATTTCAAAAAAAAAAAAGCAAATCGCCTAAAAAGAAAGCATTCCTAATTTCCTTTTCTTTTTTTGTTAAACAATCAATTTTATTATTATTTTCCACCAATCGCATCATCAAATTCAACAAAACTACCTACAATGGGTCCAAATCATATTGTGATGAACGTCGATAGCGCTTTTTTCTACGCACCAAATCTTTCAGGCGCCTACGATACAGTTCCAGAGTCGCCCGATAACAAGGTTTTGCAGGTGCAAATTCCTAACTATCAGATGATAAATTCATCTATCGTTGAGTCTATGCCAGATAACGATATCATGTCGTCTCTTGCTCTTACGAACGGAATGACCGAACAAAAATTTCAGCAGTGGTTATTAAACGGTTCTTTAACTACAACTCCTGTAATGCAACAAATATCAAATCCACTTGATGATTCTTTTATGATGGATGAAGCTCTATTTGATCCTTCTGATGTTATGCTAGGCAGCCCGACAGAAGATAAAATGTCGCCTTCTTGTTTAGACTCCCCAGTAAACTCGAATTTTGGCGAGAGCGAAAGTCCTGAGATGATGAGTGGTACTTTTGATGACAACATCCTTTTAGATGAATTACATAATTCTTTGGATTTCTTTGCTGACGGTTTTCCTACCTTAGCTGAGGCTAACGCTTTAGCTATGGTTTCACCTATACAATGTCATCCAACTTCATCTCGAAATAATAGGAAAAATAAACAGAAAGATGAAATTGAAACTTATATCAAGCTTGAACCCGATAATGAACAACAAAATTCACATTCTTCTAGCAGTAAGTGTTTAATTTTTTTTATAAAAAAAAAGAAAAAATTATGTATATGTGTGATATTTATTAACTTATATATATTTATCCTTTACAATTTTTTAGGTGATACTTCACGCCATGAATCAGACTCATCACCTATTAATTCAACATCGTCTCATACTTCACCTTTATCTTCACCACCACTTTCACCTATTCAACAGTCAAATACATCATCATCATCAGTAACAACAACAGTCGTCGCTCCCTCAGCTGTTAATCCTCCACCTCCATCTCAAAAATCAAAATCAACTACGACTAAGAAACACACTAGTTCAAAACCACCTCGTAATCTTGAATGTTATAATTGTGGTGTTAACAAGACCCCCCTTTGGCGTCGAACTCCTGATAGAATGCATTCTTTATGCAATGCGTGTGGTTTATATTATAAACAATATAATACTCACCGTCCTTTGCATATCAGAAATAAACCAAGTTCTAATACCGGTCCTTATACCCTTCCCGCTTCAAGAAAGAACACAGCTTCAAGCACATCGAGTGAAGTTACAGTTCAACAACAGGTTCAACCGCAGTCACAGCCTCAACATCAGCATCAGCCCCAAGTTCAACCTCAACCTCAACATCAACCTCAACAGGTTGTTGCTACTGTTGTACCTGCAGCAACCGAAGCACCTATCCGTTGTGTTAACTGTGCTCAAACTCAAACACCATTATGGAGAAAGAACGAGAAAGGTCAACCAATTTGTAATGCTTGTGGCTTATATGCTAAACTACATAACCGGGATCGACCTGTAGCTATGCGAAAGGCTAAAATTCAACGTCGTCGTCGTGATTGGGGTGCTGCAAATGGAAATCCAAATGGTAGCCTTGATGGCTCAGGATCAGAATCTTTGGACTCAAATCCACAAAGTCCGACTACACCTCAACATCTTACAATTCAAACCCTTTTACCAGGTCAACGACCAATTATGCCTTTAATGATCCCTCAATCACAACTTGTTTCTTCACCTGTCTCAATGGTGCCGCAAGCTACCATTCATCAACAGCAAACTTATACAACAACTGTTCCTTATATGCCACCACAATTCGATTTTGATGATTCTCGATTCAAGGCATTGGTTGGAAAAATGTCACGAAAACAAGTTGAAGGTTTTCTTGGGGTTTTGGAACGAAGGTGTGATATCTTGAAACAGGTTTTGTCTGAAGATCATGAATGTTGAATTATAATAATAATAAAAGGAGTTATTGTGACGGTGTTTGAATTTAGAAAAATTAAGAATAATAATAATAAAAAGAAAAAAAAAAAAAAAAAAAAAAAAAAAAAAAAAAAAAAAAAAA